CTGTGTTTCTGTTTCCCCTTTGGCTGACAGGCAGGTCAGAAATTCTGCTGGTGTGCAGTTAGATTAGCAATGCCTAACTGTAGAGCCCAAAACACAGAGGCCAAGCCTGTTCTGCTCCTCTCTGCAAACCTTTCCCATCTTGGCAGCCAGATGTAGCTGCTGTTTGTGTGAGCTTGCCATATCTCATTGGGATGCTGCAGCTCAGAATCACCAAACATCTGCCCCATGAGAAGCTTGCTGGGTAACACACATTATCACTGTCAACCTTGATTCCACTCTCACCTTGCACAGATACCTTCAACAAACAGTGGAATATCTTTGCAAGACCAAGTTTAATCATTAAGTGACTACTACTAAACCAGCTTAAGATCTTGAATCAACAAGTGCCAGAACAGAATACAGAAGGTTCCTTGGTAGCTCCTACCTCCTTAGGACTTCTGTATACTTCTCTAGATGTGATCTTGCAAGGAGATGTTTTTCTAAACCAGGAAACAGAGCATCTAAAATGACCTTCTCCCTCAACAACCATAAATGTTGTGGTTAGTCTTTACTGTTATTTCCTTTGGATTCTTGTTGAATCCAAAGATATAATAAAAAAGATATTTGTTTACCTCTTACAATTTTACATTTACTGTAAAATTCACTGTAGGGCCCCAGACTACTTCAAAACTGTCACTGAGTTATCTTTTTCACCTTTCTAATTTTTTTAATTTTTTTTTTTTTAGGATTTTCCAAGATGCCCATCTTGAGACATCTACAGCTTTGATTTCCCTCAGTCTTTAGCTTTTTACAAAAAGGATCTAAAGTTCAAAGTGAAACCAGTCAATACCAAATACAGTCTGAACTGGCCAGTGTTTCATGTTGATCACTCTAAAGTCTTAAAGTGGCTTGTTAAGCATCATAAAAAAATTCTTTGACTGAAGAAAGATAAGTTCCAAATCTTAGCAGTGGCATTCAGTGGTGTTAGCCATAACTGCTTTTTTTCACATTTAACTAGTGGAAGAGATGAAGTAAGAATCTTGTCACACACCAGGTTCATTGACTGCACTGACCTGGACACAGCATCCAATCTGTGCTGTGAGTGGTTCAGTAATTTTATAGAATAAATAGGATGCTTCATGGTGTACAGGAGAAAGGAACCAAAATAAGGCTGTGTGGCTAGTTTGGTTCTTGTTACCTAAATCTTGATTGACACACAGAACTATTAAAATATTACTTTATTGTTCCAGATTTAAAACAAGCAATACTTAGAGCATAACTGCTTGCTTATCTGCAAAGGATTTTAGATTATTAGATCCATGTACAGACTCCTAGCATTTAAATTACCAAGTGGTTGCCAAAGAAGAACTACTGACCTCTCTCTGTTAGTCATTAGAAAGGAATTAGACACAAACTTCATCTAAGAGTTTCACAGACAGCTGCTGACAGAGGAAGAGATGAGACCCAGTATTAGCCTTAGTTAATTGTAGGAATAAATTCCTCTGCCCCTATGATGCTAACCTCTTGGTTATACCTTTATACCCTTGCTCCTTCCACAATTCAATCTCCTTGGTCTTCCATCTGCCATTCCAAGCCCACAGCAGCTGCACAAAAATCATTCTTATTGTTTGTGCTCTGGTTAGAAGGATACATCAGTGCTGCATAGCCTCTGTGGCTCTTCAGGCACAAAAGGTATGAAGGGGATGTGGGATGCAGGTTATACATTGCACAGTGAGCAGAAACCAAACTGAGTGGCTGCTCTTAAAGCCTGCACTTCATGATCCTGTTACACCCATATCCCAAGGCTGAAAAACAGTATGTCCATTATAATTTTAGGGTCTAATATGATTTGCAAGGATGGCATAGTAAAGCCTTCAAATTAAATTCTTACATCTCCTATATTGAGCCTACTGCTATTTCTTAGTCAGTTTTGAAGTGCCTGGTCTTAAAATCCACTTGCTTCCACTTTCCCACCCATGTGGTGCCACATGGATTTAAGATCTCTTCCTTCAGCTATATCAACTGCAATGACTTTGGTAAGTATGGTTTTAAAAAATCTTTTGTTTCATGAAAAATCATTTTATTTCATTTACATACTGCCATTTTTGGCATCTGAAGTGTCATATATTCATTGTGCTGTTGATGAGTTAGTCCGCTTTTCTGTCATGTAGTATAATACCTTCTATGTCACCAACATCAATCAGTTAATTAAATTTTTTAAAAATCACATTCATATTACAGGATTCATTGTATCCTAGAATGAGGACTTGTTTTGCATGAGAAAACATCTGTCCAACATTCATTTGGAGCTTGAAAACAGGAAATTCTAACAGAAATATGACTTACTAAACTTCTTCTGCTTCGGCTTTCTCAAGGAAAGTACTACAGTTCTTATGGCATCACTCAGTCTAAAAATAGTAACCTGTTATCTGTTCATAGCCAGTAGTGATCATCTGTGATCACTAACCTTGCTTTTCAGTGCAAGTGCTGACTTGGCCACGGACCAGTATGTTCATAGTAGCATCACTGTTTAAACTGGGGGGAAAAAAATCTGTTTGTCGAGTGCCCATGTTTGACATAGCCTTTAGTTTAGTAGCTATTTTAAGTTCAAGGAGCTCCTACATGTTGAAAAATTTGGAAGGGGATAAATAAAACCATTTGCTATATGACTGCCTTCTACCAATAAATTTCTGGATACTGGAATCACTGCTGGCAGGTCAGCGTGCATCTTGCTTACAGACGTGCAGTTAGCTCACTTTTCCATGTGGTAGGTAACTTTCTGTGTGCTTTGCAGATCATAATATTAAAATTTAATGGGCTGATTCTGAGAAGGTGGGAGTGTTTTTATGAGATATATATATATATCAAAGTTGTTGGGTGTTTTTTTTAATTCTTACATACATAATTTGGAGATACCTATCAGTTACCTTTTTCTTAAGAGAGAAAGATAGTAGTTACCTATTGTGGATGTAAAAAAGGCAGTGGTTTATTAACCAAGTTTTCAGCACTTTTCTATAGAAGGATAAGGCATGGGTTACCTTTAGCAGGTCATCAGAATATACAGTCAAAAATTCATCTTCTGCAGTGGTACAGCTGGTACAGCTGCCTCATATCAATCTTGTGGTAAATCTGACAGAAATCAAACTCAGAAATTGAAGAAGGGATTTTGCTGCAAGGCACAAGTGCATGCAGTTAATTTAATTATTTCAGGAAGCCATGTATACTTTGTTCATTTCAAACCAAAATGCATAATAGTTGTATCTTTCAACTGCTTTTTGTACAATTAATTACAAGATGTTCTTGGCTTGCCTAGGTATCTGATTGGAATAATATGGTTGATCTTTGCTGAGTCAATTCTTTTCCTTCCAATAAATCTTAAAGACTGTTATGGGAGGATTTTTTTTAGTAGGCGCTTTGTTATAGGAAACTCTACAGAGTGGCGTTCTGTGCAGCTCGTTTATTTGATATGTATGTGAGAACATTTGAGACCATAAGTGCACTTATTAATGTGCAGATGGCACTCAGCTGTCTTTCCAATCACACCGGAAGGTTTAATCTCTTTCTTTCTTGTAGAACCAGATCACTTGGTAGGCTAAAAGGCAAGTTGGACCAACCTCAATGGAGATAAAATGGAATTTGTGTGGATGGGGGGATGTTCCTGATGATGACTGCCGACAGGGCAAATGTTCTCTCTGTTCTAAAGAAGTATGATATTTTCATCTGGCAAACCCAGTATGTTCTCCTGACTTTCTGTACCTCTTTCAGTATTATCAACTTTCCTGCACAGGCCATTGAAATTTCTCATTCTATTCTAAAATCTGTGCAGAAGAGAGCAATCAGGGAAACCTAAAAGTTGTCAGAGTGGCCATGATTTTCTAAAACATCTAGATGAAAAGTGAAACCTAAATTAAAAGTGAAATATCTTGAACATATAAGACCTTTTTAAGGCCCTCCATATTGCCATGAGGAAGACTGAGAACTGCTGGAAGCACAGCAAATCATTGTTCAATGTATCTCAGTTCTTGAACTGACTCTTGTTTTGGATATCTAGTCAATTTTGAGCTAGAGCCATAAGTAATGTGTTTATATATATATTGCAAATCAAGAAAGGAATTACTGGAGTTCAAGGAAAAGCATGACAGAACAGGAAGCCCTTTTCCTACCTGGCCCACTCCTCCATTGCAAATAATCAGTTGATGATATGTGCAGTGAACAAAGAATCCACTGCATGAAAAACTGCAGCCTCCCGCGGTTATTGCTTTCCTCGCGCTTCCTGCCAGAACAAGGGAATAGAAAGCTTTCAATTTGATGTTGATGTTATTTCCTTGAGTGGTTTTGTTAAAGTGCTGAACGTACAGTTTGTTTGCTAGCAACCTTTGGATTTACGAGTTGCCAGTCCTGGAGATGTTACTGTTTGTCATGCATTTTCCTCCCGATTTCCCTTCTTTATCCTCCTGCCTTCAAACCTTTTTAAAGTCTTTGCATTGCTGATACTGGCTCTGATGCTAACTGGTAGTAATAGAGTGCTGTGCAGCTGTGGCACCGTAGCTTCCCTCTGGATAATGCTGACCGCAGACTTAGCAGCTTGTGCCAGCTCAGCACATCTTGATAACTCATAATCCCTACCATAGGTTTTTATAGTTTGTCTGGTCTACTGTAAATCTCTAACTCACTGTCATCGACAGAGCTCCTGACCTGATTCATAGACACCAGGAATTAAGCTCCTGTCACACTCTGTTAGAAGATGACACCATTTATGCTGTGATATTATACAAACAAAAATAGATGCTCTTGAATATAGTAAATCATGGAACAGTGTCAAAGGTCATGCTATTATTTTGAATCTTGTTAATTAAGCCAAGTAAATAAAAAGATGGAGAAAAAAAAAGAAAATACAGAAAAATAAACCCGTGCACTAGCCAGCATGCTGAAGTACAGGCAGGTTAACTTATCTTTTCTACCAACATCGGTAATTTGGGGCAATTTAGTGTGTACTAAGAAAAACATGTACATTACTAAAAAGAAATAATTCTGTGGGGGGGTTTCCCCTCTGTCTTGCTGTGAATGTATAAGATGGTCCTCAGTCCTATGGCAGTTTGCACTGGTTCTCAGCCACGGGAAGATTCTGTCCCTCTAAGGAAAAAGGACCTTGAAATAATTAAAAAAAAGAAAGAAAGAAAGAAATTAAATCACTTCTGACGCTTTGACACAGCAGAAATTATATAGGTTGTGCTGTAAAAAGGAGCCCAGTCCAATTCTGTCTACTTCCTCATTAAAGATCAATTTGTCTGGTAATGAGGACTCCTAGACAGGATACCAAAATACCAGAATTTTATTCTAGATCAAACCCTGGCTTTTTATGGGACTTTTGTACTGAGGCTTCATTTGTGCTTTTGATTTTTACTGCATCATTTTTAAGTCTGGTCCATTCCTAGTGTAAGGTCCCAGGAGAATGCTCACTGCAGCTGGCCTAGTGGATCTCTGATTGCAGGTGGAGAATCAGGATGCTGCAATAAAATGAACTTGATCTTTGGTGGCTCTAAATAAGACTGAATGATCAAGTTGCTTTGAAAAAAAAATGTAAAAGTGCACGACCTAACTTTTATTCAATCATTCAAAACTTTTTGGCCTTGTGACACAAACAAATATAGACATTTTCAGTGGAGAAAGTAAAGTGTTTTGGATAGATGCGGGATATAATAAGACCTTGATCTTCATGGAAATATTTTTGTATTTTTAGCTATCATATTTGCCAACATGAAACAATGTGATAATTAGTAGGTTTCTTGATGTGGTGGTTTGGGCTTAGCTCTGGGGGAAACTAACCATCTTCAGCTCCGGGAGAAAAGAACGAGTAAACCCATGACACTTGATTTCGTAAGACTAACTAAACAATTTCTTGGTATACAAACGTGATTCAATAAAAGAGACCTTGTTTGAGGGAATACAAGTTTCTTTCTGAGAATTATACAGATTCCTAGTTGGCATTTTTTGGTAAATGGTGATGAAACTGTAACTGCTCCTCCAGCTGTATTTTCCTGAAAAAATATGTCTGATTGACCCAGTTATCACAAGATGCTCAGAAATGTATTATTATTTCAGACAGCTCCCAATACCCCTAACTCAATTGTCTTCATGATCAAATTTCCAAATTGTGAAAATCTGATGAGTAAAAATATGTGAAATTGCAAAATGATCACAGAGAGATGGAATAATATTGTATTTGTAAGAGAGGAAACTGCACAAAGACCAAGTTACACTACATCTGTTGCATGTAATTCTTTTGACTATATAACTAGCTGTCATCTGGAAACTGGTTTGTGAAGCAAGTTAGACATTTTAGTTCATGTGCAGAGGAGCTGGCAGAGAAGGGAACAAATACCTCACGGTACTACCTATTCTCCTTCAGGCAAGTTCAGTGTAATTAGTAAGGACTGAACGGGCCCACACAAGCTCCTTGGAAGACTTTTCCCCTTTTGGCTGTGATAGAAGGGCACTGGCACACAGAACAGTGAGCACTGTGTCTTCCCCTGTCTATTGTGTTGTCAGTCTAGGATTTCAGTTCCTACGGATGATGATTTAGCTTCTTTCGTTCTTATTAAGTTCACTTGAGAAGGTTTAGTTTGCACTTGGAATTGTAGAGGTATATCTTGTCATTAAAGTAACTTTACTGAAAATTTGGCCCCATTTGACCTCTTAGACATATTTTTCTTCTAATAGTGTCGAGATTAGATGATGTAGCATTATAATTTGTCATAGATATGGCCTGACAATATCTACAAAATCAAAACACTTAACAGCATAATTCAGTATTCTAATTCAGTGGCTTATCTGTGCTGTGATACGTATGATCTATAGCACTTCTATCTATATCTCTAAGGCAAATTGGTGCCAACTGACGGTGCTAAGGGGACATGGAAGGAAAGACAGCCACTTCTCTGGTATACATTTCTTCTAGCCTTAGGATACAGCAGACCTCTGTGTGAACTCTCTAGTGCTCTGACTGCACTGATCAGAAAGAAGATCCAGCAGTTCCTCACCCCGAAGCCGTGCTGAATTTGCTACAGGTTGCTTATTCCAGGGCAGTCAGGGATAACCTGACTGCTGCAAGGGTACCATTGCCTGGATTCTTGGGTAGCCATGTTTCATGTCTTGATAGCACAATCCCTCGGATTGGATTCCTCTAGCACTGACAAATGCGGGATTTCTAACATATCTCCACAGAAGGGTAAATCTCAGTTTCTCTAGAAATCTACTGATAAGGATTGTGCCTCAGCTTGGGTCTTTTGAGTTCCCTGCAGGATTGGGACAGGATGGGACAAAAATGTAGATAATTTGTACCCTGTTGTATCCACAATCCTAAACCATTTTAGCCATAGCACAGGCAACTGTTAGAATTGATAGATACTGATTTCTTCAATAGAAAATGCCTATGGACTACTTGTTAGCCTGATGCATGTCAGCTGGCTAAATGCTAAAGCTGTGTCACTACTTTAGCAACATCATTTCATGTCTTATCTTTATTGTAGAAACAAATTAATGAAAATTATATAGATTAAGGAAGGCAATAATCAGATCCAGTTCTCTTCTGTAATAGAGAAGCTATCCAACAATGATAATTTCCAAATTCCAGTGTGTTTTTCTGTGCTTTCTAATTTGATATTTCAGTGTGCTGTCAAGTGAAATTAATTGCAACTAATTAAAAATGATCTAGTTAGGACAATTGGACAATAGTGCCCTGGAGATTGTTTCATTCCCAGAGGTTTTAGTGACTTGCTGCTGCACTGGTTCAAGTCTTCAGAAGGGTGCTATACATCATAATGTCATTTTACATTGTTATTTCTCTGAAAGCAGCAATTTAAAAGAGTCTCCAGTGAACCTTGAGCAACTTTGCACTAAAAAGAAAAATGTTACTGTTCAAGATCTGTAAAATATAAAATATAGATTCAAAGAAATCACTTGACATGAATAGTAACTTTAAATTTGTGCCATTATTTGCATGTAATATGTAATGTTGTAGTAAAAGGCTAACAAAGCATTTAGGCTGCTCTGAGGCTCATTGATTTTTCTGCACCTTTGTTCAAACTAGGTCAAAACCAATGTTGGTCTTATTTTATCACACACGTTTTTCTCACATTTGAGACCTATGTCCTAAAGTGATATAACACAGTTCAAACCCACAACATATTGTGGCCTGCAACATCTATTTAGAGAAAAGCAATGCTCTTGTTTTGGTTTAAATTACCCTAACCAAGCAGCTGACTAATAGGAACTAAACTTCATAATATACTGAGGTCCCATTTTTGAGTAACTTGGGTGAACTGAGGGCTTAATGGAATAAGGCTTGCTTTCATGTTAGGGTGAAAGCCGGTTATTTAAAGAAATATGAAAATGAACATTGTAACCAGTGCAAACGTGTTAATGTGGTTAAACAGCTCATTTGATATTCTGCCTCACCACTATAAGCAGAAACACAGAGCCTACTAAAATTAGATTTTGTCCCAAGTCCCAAAGCTACAAATCTTCCTGTCTCTGCAACCCATACTTAGCAAACTTTATTCTGTGAAGAAATAGAGATGCAGAATTGGGGATCAGTATAGTTCTCGAAGAGGGAAAACATAAGTGAGAGGCTATTTTTAGACAGTGATGAGGTTTTTAAACAAACCATATATCGTCCTGACATTTCACATCATTTCTCCACTGTGAAATGTGTTCTATCATAGAAACCACCTTTTTTTGTAGTGTGTGATCCTTTCTCCCACTACAGCATATCTGGAACATCATCTCCTCTCAACACATTTTGCTTTTCTTAATTTATCTGATTTCTGAACAGGACCATCAATCAGTCTTTGAATAGGTTTGATTCAACACTGTGTTATTTCATTTTTACACAGCCATAATAGCACAAAAATCAATGGAGTTGTACTGACATACAAATGGAGTAATGTATTGGCAGATCAGACCTATCGAATCTGTTTTGCTCACAAGACCATTAAAATTGGTTTTAAAAAACTTCAGCAGTGAGATAAGTAGTTGGTTTTTATACATATAATTCATCCTGTGTTCTGATATTTGTGCTCGTACTAATGGGAAAGTGAGGGGATTCTTGACTTTCTTGTCAAGAAACTTTTGAAGAAAGTGTGTTTTTCTTTGTGTGTATTTCTTCGTACAGCAGTAATCTCTGTCTCTTCCACAGACTGGGAACTGATCACATACACATATATTAATGGATAAACTACAGAACCAAAAAAGCAGAGGCAAAATGCTGGTCCCACTACAGTCAGTTGGAGTTTTACCTCCAACTTTGCTGGAATTATGAATTTATCCTAGGGATCTTCTTTCTTTATTTGTCCTAACTCGGCCACACTTACCAGCATACAGAAGTACATGATTCCATGTAAGCATGGCATTATTATCTTCTTCATTAGATCAACGCAAATCTCAGCATTTCTCTGGGACTATCCGAATATCTTCTTGCTAAATGCAAAGTGAGATTAAGCAGACTTTACTTGCAGTATGTTCTGTGCATGCTGAAACTCAAGCTTTGGCAGGCTTCAAGAGAGAGGGTTCCAGAGAGAGTCAGTAGGAATGTTTTGTCCATCAGGATGTTTGAATCGGACAATAAAAGCACTCCAGGCAGTTGTAAGTTATAACCACTAAAAGATACAGAAAAAAGGCAGTCTCAGAGATAACTGAATCTGAAACAATATACTTTTGTTGGAAGATAACTCATGTCACTGCTGCTGCAGTTGGTTTTTAAAAAGTAATCTTTTTCTATTCAAGGTGGGGAAGAAAATCTCTAAAACAAATAAATGACTGGGTGAGACTTAAAGAAGCCTCACACGCATTAGCCTTTATTTTGTTGATAGATATGTTTTGCTCAGAGTGCTGGTAAGAGATCATAGAGTTAAAGGGGGAATGAGTACTCTCTCTCTCTGCTTCTCTCTCCTCCTCTCCTCCTTGTCCTCTTCCTCCCTTCCCCCTTTTTTCTTCCCCCCATCTCTCTCTCTCTGTTCAAATTTTGAACTTGATTCAGGCTGTGGTCTGATGTTCACTGCAGAAACTGCTTTCCTACCTTAAGACAAAACTGCTTCTGGTTTAACCTCTTCCCTTGCCAAAGGTTATTGGCCCCACAGCACTGCAAAATCGAGTGGATTACTTCTAACAGTCTTCTATGGTACGTTGAACTGCCTTGGCTGACTTTCCAATGAAGTGGGTGAGGATCACTCATGTGCCCACTCTGCTTGCTTTGTGGGATGCTGTGGAGAGCAGCACAAAGCTAGAGGCTCAGCCACCTCTGCTGTGAATACCTGAATGCATCCTTAGTATGGTCCTAAGGAAAATGAACAATTTTTAAGTATAGTTTATTACTAAGGTCTCTTTGTGACACTACTTCCATGCCCATCCTGAAAGAACAGCTCAGGATCTCCTTGATTTTAACCCACTCTATCTGGCTGTCTCTGATGGAACAGGCAGTGGGGGGAAAAACTCTAAAAAATTAAATCTCTCAGACCTAGCTCCCATTTACTGAACTTAAGGGGAGTTTAGCTGAATAAAGATAGCACAGCTTGATTTGTATTATGATGTTTCAGAATGTCTTATGGTATTTCAGAGTCATTAAGATAAGTCATTAGAATAATTTTACATAATTTTGTATACTACATATTCTAATGTAGAGACAGACACAGAGATTGGATAGTCACTATATATGAGACATTTCTATAACTTTAATTAATAAAAATAATAGCAAAATGGTAGCACAGAGTCCTGTTCTTTAAACTTCTCAGTGTAAACCTTCTGGTTTTGTATTCTGGCAAACCAGTAAACAGAAATCTGGTTTTTGCAAACATTTTAAGGGCTCTGTTCCATGAACTACAACACCTGGTGTATCTCAGCTCTGAGTGTAATTTAAACAAACAGGCCATGTAACACATCTCTCTCTCAGTCAAATAAAGCAGACTTGGTGTGCTGCCAATTCTACTCTCATTTATTTGCTAACCCTGGGTTTTATTTATTCCCTGAATCATCAAACACGTTGCAGAGAGTGACGGGAGCAGACAATATCACATCAAATAGCTATATAATAATGTAAATAAAATATGGTAAATCATCAGGTACATTATTTGCCTGTTTTTAATTGCCCCAGTTCATTTTGTGCACTTGAACCAAAAGTATAGTAAATGAAAAAGCTTTTTATGCTGAGCAAAGTTAGAAAGAATATACCCATTGGATACTGATGTCCTGTTATTTAGATTAAGTGAAAAATACCTTTAACAAAAAAATACACCTGGATGTAATACAAAATATCCCACAAAATTTGTTTATTATTGTCTGTGACAGAATCTCTGACTTCAATGACTCAGGGATCAGCCCAGTACTGCCTGGCTGTGGGATACTGTCCTGTAAACAGCAACGGATGTGAGGATCTGTGAAATGCTGAAATGTTTTCCAGTGTTGAGTTACAGTTACTGAGAGGATTTCTGTGATCAGAGGAAGAGAGGAATGAAGGGGGAAAGAGGGGACGAAAGCAATATTTTGAAGTTAAGAAGTGTGAAGGAGATCACTCTTGGTTCCCACAGGGGCAAAGAGTTTATGGTCAACAAACCATTGTGTGGATTATATATGCAGAACAAGTGTGTAGGTGACAAAGCCTTGCGTTTGTTTAAGGTTTCTGTTTTAATAAGATTTGTTTAGCAAAGGTCTAGCTCAACTTTACATCAGATTGTTTTCCACTAGAGAGTTGATTTAAACCCTTACCAGATGAAGGGTAGGAGCTGACAGGTCAGTTGCTTCTAAAGCTAACTATCAAAAAAGAGGAATTACAATATTTATATCTGTAGTATGCTGTTGAAATACATTTCTGAAAACTGATTCCAAGAAGAGTCTTCAAGAGCAACACACAAATAATGAAGAGAAATTGATGGCCTGAAGACTTTTGTGTACAGTTTCTGACTATAAAGTTCACCAAACACTCACTTTCTTCTGTTTATTAGTTGGCTGGTCCTGATAGGTTAACATGGGAAGAGAAAACTCTACAGTACTTACAGTTGTGCCTTGACCACGTAATTGGAAAAGTAAATGGTTTCCCTATGATCAGAGTTGCAATCTGTGCCAAAATGACTGAACTCCATTCAAAAACCCCTTCTCATGAGTCATTTTGTGGCAATGCTTGTTAAGAGATGGCAAAATACCAGGAATAAAATGATCAGCACACCTCAGGCTGCTAATAGTAACAAAAAAAGCTTTTCCTACTATGAAGCCAGCTCCTCTCTAGAGTCTTCACACTTACATGAGCTTCCTATGCAAGAGTAAGTCAGATTCAGGCCATTTTTTTTTTCTTTAAAAATGTACAAGACCCCGATCAAATTATCTCCTGTCCTAAAATGTAAAGGAGTGCTTAAGTTTCCAGTTTGTTAGCTAGTCCCAGTTTCCTTTAGCATATTTCCCTTAGAGAAAGAATGTCTGCAATATTTTGCATCTGAAAAAGAATGAATGGCAAGGCATGGTTGCAAAGGCTGGAATTCAAGAATCATTGGCCTCACTACTGAAAGCCATGAATCACTAGCTTGACTGTTCCAGGTCCAGCTCTGGACACCCCTCTGCCTCCTAAACCCATCACAATATATTAATTTGTACTGCAGCTACTCATGCATTGTGCAATACATTCTTTATTGCTCTCTTCTATTCATGCATTGTGCTCAAAAGACACAGCAGATTTTTTCCTGATTTTCTAAAAAAGCAGCAGAGGGCTGTGATTCCTCTCAAATTTGAATCGAGTGCATGTTAGAGAAAACAATTATTTCTCGTCTTCAGTGTAACAGTTAGTTCTCCAGGATTTCAATAGCCATACTGAGTAGGAGAGTATATCCCTTTATTTCTGAGGATTTAGTTCCTTCCTCTATTATGTGGGCTGGGCGAAGAGCATGGCCCTAAGTAGTCTTCATGTGATTTATTCTACATTGACAACCACTTAAGTGGAGGCAAAGCTAGACCCAAAAGGCACAAAGTGATGAAAGCTGGAACTGAAAAATAGCATGACAGTCAAAATTACTGAGTTTCACACAGCCCTTGCTCTGACCATGTTAGAAAACTCTTGGTCTAAAAGGATCCCAAAAAGCCCTCTGGAAACCCAATCCCATGACTTATATGCTCTCCTTAAAGGCTTTTTTCTTTCCCTCTACAAAATGACATTGAAAAAAGCCTTGTGGACTTCACTACTTGCTGTAATTTGACAGCTTTTAGTCAAAATATTTTCCATTTACAAGAGAAGGACTTATATCCCAACCAAAGTTGAATACCCTAACATCTGCAAGTCAGACTGAGCTGGTTGTGGTTGAGTCATAGGCTAGATGGCCCCACAGAAGTGGAACATCTCTATGACAGGGGATGGGAAGGGGTATGGAGGAGATGTACTACTCCAGGAACTTCACGATGAATTAACACTGGTGGCTTGGACACTGTTTCCCAGGGACTCCCAAGAGTTGAGATGTCTCTTAATGAACCAAGGCTTTTGTGTTTGCCTAGTTCACTAGACTGGGTCAAAGACTGAAAAGTGCATTACCTGCTGCAGGGGAGGACAGGAGGAACTGATTCTGGTCACTAGGTATGCTATGATTGTTCAAAAGCAAACGGGAACAAAGCACTACCCTTTCCTTCCCAGCAGCAACCCTATGTTGATTCATAAAGGCCAGATGCTATCTGATCTTCCCGCTGGGATTCAGTTAAGAATGCAGAGCCCGAACGCTCAAGTTCCCTCTGAGTATTATATAAAACCAAAAGTTAACTGAGCTGCTAAGAGGAGCATGCATCACACACATAAATAAAACTTGTTTGATGACAAAGGCGTGGCTTTGATGGTTGTTTTTCAGAGTAGAATTTCACGTTAAAATGAAGAGCTAGGGAATGTCCATATAAGCTCAAAAGTGTTTTTAAGATAGCTATTGCTAATCCATTGAAGCCAATCAGTTTTTGTATTCAAGACCCTTTCAAAATCCAAGCGGTACTAAAAAAGTGTTTCCAGAGTTTGCCAGCTCCACTGTCAACAGCTCAGAAATGGGTCACCATGCATGTGCTTTCATAATCTTCTTTGTGTATGAAGATTCAATAATAAACTGGTTTTTTTTCCTCTGGCATTCAGAATGAAGGGGAAAAAAAAAGGAAAAAACCAAGGAGCACAGGTAGGCCTTTTCTAAAATAAAAAATCAAAAGTAATTCACCTTATTGCAAAAGTTGGCTAACACTACAAAAACCTGAGTTTTTTCTATCCTGTGTTATCTTTACTGAGCCTTAAATTAACTGAAAGGATCCCTGTGCTTGCATGATTTATCTCTGACTATATTGTAGGAGAAAGAAAACTTTGAAAGGAGACTTTAAAGTCAAGAGTGCAATAAACTTTTTTATTGTTTTATGTTTTTATAATACAGGTTTAACAAAGGATGTATTTTCTTTACTCTTCAGTCTGGATTTCTCTCAGTGTGAGAAGATTAAACCTGAAAGACTGTATGTTGAAGTCCATGCTTATATCACTGTTAAGCTTGCAAATGGGAAAATGAGAGAGGCTACTTTCGGTCGCTCGTGAGCTACATGTATTTTGTGTGTTTATATACAGTGAGTATAAAAAAAATGTTTTCTCAGTTCCTTAGATTTAAGTTCTGATCTGGTACCGCTCCTCTTGTTACTATGCATAACATACTTCTGTCTCTCTAAATTAGAAGCTCTACCGTCAGTTGGGATGAAAATGAAGGTGTCAGCTACAAAGTTAGGGGTTTCATCTATGTGACCCAACAGCGGCAATGTAGATTACTTATGAAAAGGTGATTTGAAGAAATTATGTGGATCATAAAGAAAGAACCAATTTTTCATCGCATAGGTGCATAAACTTACTATACTTTACATACCAAATGGCCAAAAGGAAAATCAGCTGTCAGGAGTTTTTTGCTATGATGTTCATAAGGTCTCTCTTACCTTGATATCTTTGTTGAACTAATGCTGCCATGCCACTAATTACATATTTGAGGCATATTCCACTGGGGGGAGGGTGTGTGTTTCAATGTATTAATGGCATTATAGATTGAGCTCTGCATATCTAGCTTATGTTACTCCCAGGGCTTCTTAGTGGTTTTTTTTATAATAATACAAATTCTTCATATATTCTAACTAATGCTTCAACCTGCATCCTTTACATTGACTATTAAAAGTGTTCTAGATTTCAAACAATGCAATAACCAATAACTTATTCTATGCTGGTTAATGAGCAAGTAATGATTATTTTTTTCACTACCTATTACAAACCTGAGCCAAGTTCAAATACTGGAGAGAAATTGGGGCCTACATATCCAGCGCTGCGTATTCTGCCAACATTGTCACCAGTGCATCATGGTAGTAAAATGCTAACTCCATTGTATGTCACTTTGAATGTCCTTCAGCATACATTTACACGCAGGAGAATCCATCCTTCTTTGCCAGTCACTGGTGGATACCCCACATCTTCTAGCTGGCTTTTATTCTCAACTATTTCCCTGGTAATAAGTTGTGCATATCTTCAGGTAATAGTATTAGCTTGTAACTGGCAATGTTTCTAGCATGAAAACTTTGTTGTTGCTCAAGTAGATTGACTTAAATTGCACTGGACTTAAACCAGGAAACAACATATACATAAAAATGAAGATGTTTTCTGTTCCTAACCTTTTTTAATGGGTTTTAAAAACAGGTTTTTAGCTTGTTTGCTTTCTAGTCAATTCCTAAATAGTGTAGTTTATTTTTGATGACTGATTATAGGAATCTTGCTCATGCAACCAAAGCACAATATTTTAAGTCATGATTTCTTTTCAAGGAATGAAATGATCTTTATATCCTGACATGTTTTATCATTTTTAGACTAAACCAGTTGTCTGTGTAAGTTCGATGGGTAGCCCTTTAAACTGATAGAATATTATCAGGACTTATTAAAAACCAAGCACATCTTGCTATTACAGCTGTGTTTCAGAGATGAAACAAATGGATGAAAAAGTTCTCTCTAATTGTATCATTAGCTAATGGTATTTTTAATGAAGTCTGTTAAAAAAACTTAAGATGATGCGGTATTGTAGTACTACACATGGTACTATGTGAGTCCCACTGCTAAATATTATACAAAATTCTCAAAGAAGGTTTTTTCATACAGTTACTAAACTGGGAGGACAAAATATTAGGAATAAAAATAATAGATTTTACTCTTAGCTATCTATTAGCCCCGTGGGACTGTCCTTATCCTTTTAATGGTTGTCCCAGTCCATACTCTTAACATGCACATAAATGAGCTATTGCAGACATTCCTACTGTCTTTTGCCCACTGTATGGTCTTGTTCCTCCGTTTCTTGCAGATAAAAGTGAGGCAATCCACCCTTTTTCTTTTTAGATGCTAATTATTTTTGTTCAAGTGATGTTTCTTCCTAGGACTTGGTCTACACAGGAAAATTTTTGTCTGATAGATATATCAGGGACTATTTTTATTCTTCATTTATTGCACCATAGCTGTGCTGGCAAAACTTTACTTTATATACCACTTACACTACCAGGAAGTTCTGTTGCCAGTTTTGTTTGTATTGCTTGAGAAGCTGGTTTGTTTCTTTTGTTCACCTAAACCATACCCCTTAAAAGACAGTTTGCTTTCATCTTGGCTTTACCTAGTAAACCTTTGTAGGAGTAGACATGTCTAGGAGGTACTAGGACATGGTTTTGGAGGGGTAGTAGCTCAACAACACTGTCCTCTCACTAAGATGTTATGCACAAAAATCCTATGAGGAAGGTGGAGTTTTTTGTTCTTCCTCATCAGTGATTCTTTTAGTCCTCTAACCATCATCACTGATGAGCACCACAGATGTCTGCAGCCTGTCAAAGATTAAGTAACTTGTTATGTTGAGCTTGAAGTGTGGGAGCACTGAGAGTAAAAAGGACAGTGACAGAAAAGAGAAAGTCTTCACAATCTCAACATTAAAAACCTTAGATAGGAAAAACAGTTTCTTAAGTATTCTTGGTAAGTAATGTGACAATCTAAGTCATAAAATCTTTAAAAGCTCCTTAAAGGTCAGTGGATTCCAGTAAATTTGACATTAGTACTTTGAGGTTTTGAAATTAATGCACTTATTGAAAAATTTTATTACCCTTCTTTTTTCCCTAGTCAATAGATGTGATTTTACAAAAAGTAGAATTTTGTGGTCTACTTCTTCAAGCTGCCATTATGTCAATCAAAAATAAGTCTGGCTAATAAATTATTTTGGCAAGTAAATTAAATGCTTTTGTGGTTAGTTTAGTGTTTTCCTAAAGCTCCAGCACAGGCCAGGAAGCATTCTGCTTTCTCTCTTAACGAGACTTACTGATTACTGTGTGTCAGCCACAGGCCATCTTTAGTATTGGTTTTGTCTTGCCTGTATAATCTTACTAAGATGCATCTTAACCAACACTGGCTTAAAAACAAATGCAGGAGGCAGTGGTTGCTTTTAAAATTATTACCCCAACCATTTCCCTGGTGAAACATAAACACATATTAAATAACATAACATTAATAATTGCATAAAAGGAATGTTTTAAAAAATAGTTTCAGGAGAGAGAATAAACCATTAATGAATTACTGCATTAGTGAAGTAGTTTGGGTAATAGTTGAGATGTTTGTACTAAGTTGATAAATGCTCTGCAAGTAAATCACTTGCATATATCTTCTTTTCTAGCCTTAGTTCAGAGTCCTTTAGATCTCCAAAGGTTGTAGATAATTTTTGCACCCACTCAGTCAATGACTGGCAATGCGGCATGTAGCCACAGTCATTCATTCTGTCAGTCACAGCCCTTGATAATGTGCCTGTCAATATAATTCAGTGCCTGTTCAGGGAAAGTGACACTTTGAATAGTGGACACTTTTCAAAAGCATTCATACAGGGTCAGTTCCATGATAAATAAATATATTTTGCGTTTGGAACAAATAGGCAATACGCAGAAGCGAGAGTCAGAGCAGAAATATACAACCAGTCTGCAGGACATGATAAGCTGCAGTGAAGAGTGAATATCATAAATGCATCTTTGAGGTTTTTTGCTGCTGCATTAATGATGAGATAATGGATAATATAGTCTTCAGGATCCTACCTGGCTCAATTGAGCCCTGATCCATGACCAGGGGCACTATGCTCTGCTACACTACAAATGAGATATTAGAATAATAGTATCAATAGTTCTTTAAACCCTATTAAAAAGAAGGAATATTTTTGTAGCTGAGTGAAAAACATAGGCAGAAATCTTTAATTACCACTAACGGTGTGTTAAAGAAAGTATTTATATGGCATACAATGTTTAGTTTCTAGTTTCTATTAATACAGGCTGAGAATGTGAGGAAGAAATATGTGATAGTGACAGGATTTTTAATGGTACCTCACCTTAAATGCATTTTAAAATATGTAAATCAATAAAAAAATTATTTGTAATAGCAGACTAAGAGTGCTGGTTAGCCTTACTGCTGAATGAAATGTATGCTACAAGCCCTATTACCATACATCGTGGGAGCTGTAGTTAGGATTAATCTGTCAAAAGGGATGGTTTAGTGTTGATGAATATGACATGTGACCATTAATGATGTTGATTTTATCTCCTGAGATTAGCATGATTTACTTCGGATGGATAATAATGTCATTTGCTTGATGCAGTAGATCTGTTTACGAGCTGATTAAATTGTAAGGCCTTGCTTCATTTCATGCTATTTGGTTTACAGCTTCATTACTGCAATCACAAAAGCTGTGGAAATGTCCCACATCCCATGTCACAATAAATCATTGTTTAAGATTGCAGCTATGTATTTTAGCATTTCAGTTTTGCATGGACCATGCATTCCTTAACAAATATGTGATTGGGAATACATTAACAAGATATTCTGGAACATACTGCTGCAGAAATGTAGAAAATCAGCCTGAATCTTTTAATTGAGATTAAGGAAGCACTTGAGTAATTAGCTGTAACAAATTACCTTATTATTTAGACAGTGAAGTAAACGTTTTTGTTGCAAGAATGATTATCATAAATCTGCAGAAAAGTGACAGTCAAACAACCATAAAGGAAACTTGTAAGCAAACTACATTTTCTGCCTATTACCTTTTACATTGAAATAAAATTTATCAGAGACATACTCTAAAAAGAATGTATTTGTTGTTTAGGGATAGTATATGTTACAAGCTATACCATCTGTGATTACTGCACTGGGAAGAAAATATGTATGTAAATCACAAAGAAAAAAGAAGAATCTGTTAATTATAATGGCAAATGCTAATGTTGCCATAGTTAAGGCTGTGTCAACGTTTTTATTATAAACCCAGTTATAAAGGATGAAGGAGAGAGGGAGGGTGGCAATCAGCCATCAGAGATTGCTATGTGCTAAAATTTTGTGTACAAAAAGGCACACTTACACCATGTAAATCAGATGTATCAGTGAGACCATGCTCATAGTTTCAGTGAGAGGAGGACCAGGGCCAAACTCTCAGCTCGGGAGTGAGGGTGACTATGTTGTAATAATTTTTTCACATTTTGCATTAAATGATACTGCTATTTTTATTGTACAAATTAAAAAAAATATTGCATTTATCAGTCAATTGGGACCCTTCAGAGCTTGTGGCTTACCACTAGCTGAATTTGATAACTACAGTTGATTAAGTCTTGGTTCATATGCTCAACTTTAATGAGTTCTTCTAACTTTGAAGAGCATACATAAATAATTAGCTAAGTTGGGTGTCTTATTGCAATAGAATGCAATTTTTTTAGTTCTTTCTACTTTTTTTTTTTTCCTAAATTCCCCCAAGTTGGTTCTCACTGGATTTCATGGAAACATCTCATGTTAGTTTACATGTGAATTCTGCTGTGTTATAATATGGTCAAATGTGAATGTGAACTTCACAGTAGATTTGTGAACCTCTTCCCCTTGGCAAAACTCCCCTCTCACCTCAAAATATTTCAGCTGGCAGATGAAGAAGTGGGAACCACAAGAAGAACTATACTCATGTACATGTATACATATATACAGGCCTAGAATATCCAAAGATTTCCAAAAGTGTTGCAGCAATGACGATGGTCAAAATTTTTTACAAATGATTCATGACCTAGCTTTTCTGGTCAGCCAACATGAGACATTTTGAAAAGCCAGGCCTTTTTTCTCATTTGTTTGTTTGTTTTTAATGGTTGATGCACAAAGCATTCTGCAAAGGAGATTCTTTCAGGAAAGCTCATACTTTGGATTTGAAAAGGAGACAACTCTAATGCTTGCAACTTAATTCTGTCTGGTAGTTTGGGGACAGATTTACCAAGTCAATTTAATTTTCCAATACATTGTGGCTGCTGGGCATAGATCTTCTATCCCTGCCTTTTTTGCCGAACCAGTCCCTGTTGACGTTCATAAAATTAATGAAAAGGTTTTACATGTTGAAATGTTGATTTTGCCAGCAACATTTCAACTAATCAAATGAAAACAGTGATAAATATTTTCTCCTGTTTTCTAAATAGCTCTAGACCTGAGTTAATGAAAACATATCCTTGAAAATAAATGGATGCCTAAGTTTATTTTTCACAAAGAATAATTTAATTGCTGTGACAAAAAGAAAATGCAAAAAGAGGAAGCCACACTTTGAATCTTCATTGCTTCAGAAAACATTTGGTAATATATTGCATCCCTGCTTAAGTTGGCTGAAATTTTATTACCACAGTTTCACAGTTTTATGTTTTATAACTTTGAAATTAAACAAAACAAAGGCTCCCTCTCTTGATGAGCTGCACCTTTTGACAGCAATTTGGTTTCCAGCCAAGAAGAAAACACTAAGACAGAATTTTTCAGGTGCACATTCTTTCACTGATATTCCTGTTGAAACGAAAAGAAGAATGCCCTTGAAAATCCCAACTGCTGGCTTCAGTAAAAATATATAATTTTACCACCCACCTGCCAGTGATGGTTAATTTAGTGTAATTTATGCACAGTAGAAAATCCCTTGCTAGCACTGTGAGGTGCAGAGGCTATCAGCCAGGCTGATAGTAGGTTTGTGGAAAAAGACACCTTTAACCTGAACAGCTGAAGTCATCTCCATGAACTTTAGTAACCACCGTTCATATTAACAATGACAAAAGTACTAAGGACATGTAATTTCTTAGTTCCCGTACAAATTGTCCCCAGTCTGCTCTCTACCATTCCTTTGACTCTGTCATGTTTGAGGAATCTGTTTAAATAGAACTAATGAATCCTGGTTGATGCTTTGAGGTTGTTTTTCTGAAAATGGTGGCACTGTGTAATGCATATGTGTCTGCCTTACTGATAAAGCTGCCACCATGGTATGAGTGAAGAAACTATTTGATCTTTGTGACTGAGCCCTGAATAAACAATTTATATGTTCAGAAAGTTGATGGCTGCTGCAAGATGGTTCATCAGTCTTCTCTGCAGGTGCCTTCAAGTATGACAATTATTGAAATTGGACAGAAAAAAAGATGAGTTTAAAATTTTTCAAATGGATGCAATTAAGGGACAGAAGTTGATTCTCTGACTGGAAGAGAGGAAAACCTGTGCAATATTTTGCCACTGGAGAATTGCTTTATCTGCAGGTCTGTTCACTGTTAAAGGAAGCAAACTAACCTGAAAATAATAATTAAAAGAAAAAAATTGGTCTACAGTAGAAGGATCCTGGGCAGCTTTAGGCCAAAGAATTCTCAAGACTGATGTTGAAACTCACACAAGAGAATATATTATTTCTCTGACTTTTCTTTTTTTATCCCATATTTCTACATAGAATATTCTTAAAGCTAAGGCAAGTCTGCAGATGTAGTCAGTGCATTTGAATATCTAAATTGTTTATTCCAGGTCATCAAAATAGCTGGAACTGTTGGGTACCAAGAAAACTGGTATTTTGGAAGCAAGAACTCCTTAAGAGAACTTCATTGGATTGCAGGATTTCAGTGGAAACTGAGTCCAGTGATGTGTTAGCATTTTTCTGTTTGAACACTAATCCTAATAAGGATAATTTCCCAAATTTAGGCCACTAAAAAAAAGCACTGAGTTTTCCTCCAGCAAACGATTTACGTTCATGAAAGAACTTGCTCATGTCAGCAGCGTTGGGGAGACATGTACTGGGAAGACATTTGCTTTAAGAGATTCCCAGGAATTGCCACATCCTAAGTCCTTGACTGTTCTAGAAGGCATCCAAATGGCTGCTAAGGAGGGTCAAAGTTGCAAGCAAAGAAAATCTACAAGGCAGTGTACATGCATGTACTTGCATTATGTCCATTATGTCCTCACTATAATATTTAGAGTGTGCTCAATGGCACTTAGAGCAGTGAGTTCTGAGTAGTTTTAGGAATCAGAACCATGTGTTTTCTGAAGAAATATAGATTCCTAAAAGATATCTTAGATTTCATGATGAATGAAATCTCTGTAATGATGCAGATTTTCTGTATTACCAGGGCACAGAATTTCACTGAGGAGCTCCTGCAATAAGTGCAGCTAGCTAAAGAATATGAAAAGAAATAGGGGCAGACAATTTGTTATTTTCTCCCTTCATAGAGTTCAAAAATAGGTTTTGGAAAAAGCAATTGTGCCTCCTTCAATTATTGCATTACCTCTAACACTGAGACTGCTGTAGTCAAGCCTTTTAATGAACAAATTTTACAGAATTTAGGGTCTCTGAAGTGCAAAGCCACAACAGAGTTTGGCTCTTAATGTGCCATATGAGCATTATACTGCTTGCTTTCTCTGTCAAAGCTGGCATGAATCAGAATGCAATAAAAGAAAAACTATTTCATTCAAAATTAAATGGCCACATCCAATTAAAGACTGAAGTCTGAAACTGTAAAATCTATTGAAAGTTTCTTTCTGTTTTAGAGGAAATGTACCAACTGCTAATGGAAGAGTTACTCTAAACGGTTGGCTACTAGTTAACTATTATGCATTCTAGCAGGATTTGTGGCTGGATTTTTTTTTTTTGGTCATTCCTCCTCCTCAGAAGATCTGGAGAAAAGAACAGAAAACTATAGAAAAGATTTGCGTGGTCTTTTATCTTTTGAATCAGTGTCATACTAACAAAAAGATGTTTTGAAGTCTTTAACCATTAATTGACTAACTGGTTTTCTTTAGACATAAAACTTGTCAAGGTCTTGATTGTTGTGAATCCATGGTGATAGATTCTGGCTGACTGCCTAAGTACAAGGTCTCTGAACACCAGAATAACATTTTTTGAAACAATTTGGGCTTATCCTCTGTAATGCCATTTAAACAAACTTAATTGACTAAAACTTTCATTTTTGTGCATTCTGTATGAGGTACTATTTGCAAGGAGAGGCCTTTTAGGAACAGATACTAAATGACAAAATCTGACCTCTACCTAGCCTTAGATTTCTCAGTTCTTGTTTGTTTACACAAAATAAGCCAATATGAACTGCATTAAAAATTCACTTTAAGCAGAAAAGCTCTTGTATACTCTTATTTTCCTTTGGTGAATAACCTTAAAAGGGGTCCAAAATGAGACTTTATGAATAGCATAAAATTTACACACTTCTGCAGTAAGACTAAGCATTATCTTCAGATAAGTGCCCATATATGTCAGTCAGGAAGCTTGTTCTACATGAAATGAATAAAAAGTTTCAGACAAAATTAAGACTGTATTTTTTTTATTTTTTTTTTAGTGAAACTGCTAAGAAGATACCTCTGGGATGATTTTCTTCAATTTTGAGTTCTGGGCATATGCAGAATTATACATCCATCTCTACAGGTTAGCAATTTGCATTTTCCACTCTTTCACTGGCAAAATAATTGGGTTTGAATAGAAGTAGTATGTTAGATTTAAATAATATACAGGAGTGATGAAATTGTACTTTAAGACTTTTTTTAGGGAACATGACAACTCTGAGATGACAGTTTTATCTCTAGGAAGTTCTTTGAACATCACAAGGTAAAATTCTTGGCATCTCTAATGAGTTTTGAATGGCCCACATGGCGTGAGTTGGTGGGCCAATAGACAATACTCTACGCTGTAGTTGTCAGGGCCCTCATGGCTTTAATAGACCCTGAAGGCCCTCAACAGCTTCACTGAGGGTCTCCCCCAACCCCTGCCCACAGTCTCTGGAGATTCCTCGGTCCATGCCTGAGTGAGATCATAGGCAATGTCAGTCTCCAGCCTGGCCATGGGCCCCATTGCTCCTAAGCTCCACCCATGGGCTGATGGCCTTGGCCTCACTTTGTCACCATGGACATCCTCAGAGATCATGACCCCAGTTACACCTACTAGGTCTGATCTGACCTGCAGGTAGACTGACAGCTTGACCTGCCTCACCACCACAAACTTCTCTAATGGTCTGAATGTCTAATATCAGCTGATATCTCTAATATCAGCTGTTAGCTCTGGTCCTGCCCTGCTTCCTCACTGGGACAGCCAGGACCCTGCCCTGCTGGCTGTGGCATTGCCCTTGGCTCCCTATTCCCTGTCAGAGCATCTGCCCTTCCTGCTTTCTGACAGTAGTGCAAAAGCTTTTATCTTACCAAAACAATATTGCAGCTGGGAACCAGACACCAGTCTTTACCCCGCTGTAGTCAAGGGGTGACTTCCAGTGTTGTTGATGATCCTTTCTTTAGGGAGGGGGGGAGTCACTAAGAAGCCCATCCACTGTTAACAGTGTACTTGTTTCATGAGCAGAGGATTTCTGTCTCAATTTCATTCCCATAATAGCCACAGAGCTTTAACATAAACATCCCATTTTCTTTTTCTTTGCAAGAATAGTCCAAGAAAAGAGAATTTTAGCCTGAGCGGTTCTGTATTGAGCTAAAAATGACTTAGCTGAGTTGGGACTTGGTCTTAACAGGCATATTTCACTACAAAATCTAGCTACAACCTGGAATAGAGTGGAATAGTCATTTCTGTCTCTTGGATGCATAGAAATATTGCAAACCAAAGTGTTAAGCAGCCACTATACAATCAATTTGCCAGTTATTCCTCCTAAGAGAATGCAACTATTATTAGAGTTTATAGGTAGTATGGAAATCTTTCAGATTTAAGGGATTTTTATTATATTTGTTTTTTAATTGACTTCAGTTTTACTAACCAAAACAGAAAAACAAAAAAAAAGAACAAATCTCAATCTTATTTGAACACAATTTTAAATGGAAAAATATTGTTCCAGTTTTCAATTCATGGAACACATATTCAAAAGTAAATTTTACCTTTAAATGTTTTGTAGATACTTATATACATATATAAAGTCATATTTTTGCTATGCAGAATTTGGTTTTCTTGACTTCTGCATTTAAGTAACCACTTTGCTGTTAAAAGCCAAAATGAATGATGTGGCAGTGAAGTTTGTGAATCAGCTAATAACGTGATATATTCACAAACAGAGAATGTTTTTAACATATCTGAAATAGTAACTCTGAGGCTGTACCAACTTTGTTAAGTCCATTATCTCAATCAATAGTGCTTGTATATGATACTTAAAATGTATTATTTAATTATTGTTCAGGTCTTGCTTGACTGCAAAGGCACTGAGCACCATTCAACATGAAGGTGCAGTGTCCTTAGGCCAACTTTTTAATTTATCTGAACAAGATGAGACTTTCTGAATAATAGTGTGTCTTGCTGCTGTTTACAGAAGCAAATCTACTGAGCACAAAGCTTAACTACAGAGTTGCAGAACAGTAGAAGAAGGTATGTTTGAAGGAAAAACGGTGTTGCCAGTGATGCTAAGATGCTGAAGTATATAGGGATTTTTATTTTGACATGCTGCATCTGTACAGCTGAAAATTAGATGCCAAGTCAAAATTACTACTAAGAAAATGTTCAAGACCCAGTACCAACAAGAAGAAGGCATCTGCCACCACTGAAAAAAACGACGTGTAATCCTTTTAGGGCTGTGTGCCCCATCTGCACAATGAATGGTAACCTGTATGAAGGAATAATGCAGGAATGTATTGTGCTGTTGTAGCATACTGTTTATTTACTGTTGTTTTTTTCCTAACAATTTATAAGATTTCTATGGTATAACTTCATGACCCTCCTTTTTTCTCCGAGAACTTACACCATAACATATTTTACCATCAAACCAATTTATTAAAAATAATTCTTGAAATACTAAATACTGTAATGAAAAACATTACAAGAATCTCCTCTGCCAGAAGTAAATGACAAAGTTGAAAAAATATGTGTTAAAGGAACGTTAATAACCAGCAACACAGTCTCACCGGTAGTGACAGTGGAGAGCTGGGTGGTTGCATGGGAATTAGTGCAAGTGGGAATAGCTGTTTGCTGCAAAGTTCATGGACTTGTTCCTCATGTGTCAGTCACTGCACAGCTGTTAGTATGAAGGACGACCCACAGGTACCCATGGATGTTAAAGCAGGGTTCAGCCATTTAAATTATTGGGTCAGTAGGGTAATATACCAACTCCCATCAGTTCTGTTCCTTCATCTCTGTTTCAGTATCAGAGAACAAAGAGGCTGCATTTTCATCCCTGTTGTCTCACTTCTCTTTTTCTCTTCCACACTTTTCAGTTCTTCACTGAATGAGAGGTGCTGGTTCAATCTGCATTACAAATCTTTAGGCATTTTTCCCATAGTTCATCCAAGAAAAATTTCCCTGTTGGTTTCCCATCTGCTCTACAGTAATCTGGGTGTTTGACTCAGGCCTGTTTAAGGTAGAAAGTTCTACCAAAGCAAGGAAAGAACAAGGGGGGTTTTTATCATTTGAAAGACAGAAAAAGTCTTTCCTTCTACACTAAGCAGCTTGCAAGGCCAAAAGTTGATAATTTTACATAATTAATATTTCTTTATTTCATCTCTGATCATTCACTTGTCCACAAGCTGTTTCAGGCCAGTTTAACTCACAGACAGACTAGTAATTATTGTACATTTAAGACACCTAAACCCAAAGTAATGTCAGATGTGACTATTGCACAAGGGGATCAGACTAAAAGGCTGACACATTGCTACTATTTCAGATTAGCAAAGCCTTGGATGCAGGCTTCCCTCCATCATTCCTAAAATAATGCTAATCCCTAGACCTAAGGTTTTGCAGTTCTATAGCTGGACAGCACCTATACTGAAAGGATTTTCCTTTGCTGCCGTCTGCTTAACAGATTAGTTATAGGAGGGAACTCTATAGAAAGGCCATGCTTGATCTGCACAGAATCTTCAGATGTCTTACCTTTTTCCTGTGTGAAAAATTCTCAAGTATTAACAATTAGCAGTGGAGAAACATTTAAATTATGTCTATATTTTACTAGTCTCCATTTTTCCCTTCTGAAAAGGGAAAGACCAGTGGCACAAGCCACTAAGGAACTTCTTAATTTAATCTTTAATTTAACTTACTGTGACACAGCATAGATTATGCCATAAAGCTAGCACTAGTGAAACTGCATTTAGCACTATAGCAGTAAGACAAAGCTATAGAGTGAAAGTGTATGAAGAAGTATGTACACATTTCTCCTATAATTACAGTTTTGATTTTTTCTTTTATTTAGTTTTTTTAGAAATAATTAGAAATAATTAGCTGGCTTTTAAAAACATTTACCTTGATTTGAAGCCATCTTGGCCCACTTTAACTTTGCAGGCTAGGTTATGATGTAAGAAGAGTGGTGCTGAGGAAGTAGCATGCCTTCTTCCCTCATGAGGTTAAGGTATTTCATAGTGTGATACACCATAAACAATGACTGTGAATCACATTCCAGAAAATCCTCCAAAGTATAGGTCAGTTAGTCTAGATTCCCTAATTCTGCCTTGGACCATTCCTTTTATGTCTTAAAACTCACATTGTGCTGTTAGAGAGTTTTCACTGGAATCTTCATGCTGATTGAGGGGTGAGGAAGGAGATGGTAGTACCTTCATAGTCCTTTCAACAGAGACAGGAAACAAATTTTAGAACTGCTTTGGTCACTTTATTATGCAGAATTTGATGCTGAGATTTTTAGTTCTTTCAAGCTAAAGATGAACCAGTTATTTTATCACATCTTGTGCTGTTTCTTGCTCAAGCTTTCATGCAGAGCACAATTGTGGAGGTCCCTCCTGAAATGACACTTTCTGCTCTATTCACACCAAAAGGCAACTGGAACTCATGTGTGATTCTCCATCCTCCCAGCATTTCATGGAGACATCTGACCAGAGACTGCTGATGTATAGGCAGCTGGAAGATGTGAAGTCTTATACAGAGAAGCAGTGTGGGAATAAGTAAGCAAAAGGGCCAGAAATCCTCACCCTAGGGAACTGTGGAACCGACACTGGAAGACTGTCAAGTCAGAATATCCCTAGAATGATAGAACATAAATTCAAGCCACACATAAATCCAGATTTCAGAGGCTTGAGCTCAGGTAAGACTCTGGATTACATGAAATTTGTAAGTAAAGTACAGGAAATCTACAGTGATTTCATGTATTTAAAACCTGTTCTCAATCAAACTGAGACAAATTAGTTTCAACTGAAAAAAAAAAGTCCTGGAAGGGATTCCTAGTTTAACTGAAGAGGTTTTTAAAAAATCAATTTTAAGATACTACTGTAGTTGAAAATTGTTTCAGGCTGAGGCAAGATGTGAATCTAATTGTCACAGCCCTATGAAAATATTCTGCATATAGAAGCTTATCACATAACATAATTATCTTATTCTAGTTTGTATTCTAGACCAAGCACATCTGCACGAGACGTTACTCAGTCAGAATGCTGCTTTTATTCTTGAATAATTCCATGTGCAGTCAAGCCTTTAGTCAAATCAGCACAACTCTGAATGTACATGAATTGTTGGTCTATCTCTGCTTGCATTTACAGGAAATCTGTATCTCTGTTCCCAAAAGCAGCTGACAGATCTGAAAACGTCACATTTGTTTGCAGATAAGCATGAATCTTACTAGCTCCCACCCTTACTAACCTATTATTTCTATGTCTTTTAGGTTTTATTAATCGCATATCCTTCAAATTTTGTGTTCGATGTCATTAGCAAACTAATAAGTGCTATGGAGAGAAAGAAAACCTTTTTCTTCCCTTGTTTGCCAAAAAGCCAAATGGAAAAGTTTTGAATATGACAGTGCTCCATCAACTCTATGTAAGAGTCCAGAAGAAGAAAATCAAGTTGCTTTTCTTTTTCTGGAGAAAAAAAAAAATAAATCTTTGTTCTAGTTCAGTAAAAAAACCCCACACGTTAGACCTTTTAACCATAAAGGCTTGCTTTTCTTCACACTATTTGTGTTTGTCACCTGTGTTTGCCTAGTTCTGTCATGAGTACTACCTCAAAACCTTAATAAAACATTAATGTCCAAGCCCCAGAACTTCCACCGTCACATTTCTGTCATTTATCTCTGTTACTGATTTTAGCTGTGGTTACCTTTTAGAACAGTAAAATAGCAAGCTATACATTTCAAGGAAGAGACAAGATTTATGAATGTATACAACTGGGACCTCCTACTCATGATATAAAATATCAGTTGGCACTCTTAATATGTGGTCAAAGTTGTTTATCTTCTACTTTGTGTAGTTTTTGTACCTCTGCTTTAATATTCTTCTCTAATATAGGTTTTAACAATCTGAGTACAGACTGAATGGTCTTATTAGCATCTTTTTAGTTAATACCTAAGTATATCTTTTAATTCAATTGTGCCTGAAAGTTGTCACTAAATGGCTACTTTCTAGTCCATAAGAAATTATGTGGTGCTGGCTGTTCAGGCATGTTTAACATGAGTTTATCCCAGCTGTGTTCTCAACAGAGCAACTCCTTAAGAGCCCATGAAGATGCATCAGCTTTTTTTTAACCTAGTCTTTCCCCCAGCAGACTGGAACGAAGAGGTCAGTTCTGTTATCACATTTACAGTTTACGTGCTGTGAGCGGGAGTCTGCATCCTTGTTTAATGTCACAGCAGACTACAGATATCAGGCATTCAGGGATAACATTTTTCAGAATCACAAGCCCAAGACCAATTAGTTTTCTTACTGGGGAGGTCATTGTAGATTTCTGAAATAGGACCAGTGAACTGGAGAATTCCTCATTTTTCAGATATGTTTTTGTTCTTTAAATATGTATTATCAGCATTAACAGTTATCGGCTATTCTGATCTATGTCACAATAAAATAAAGACATATTGAGAAATGATGCAACCTCTACTTGTGTCACACTGCTTGCACAAGCTCAGTATTAATTTCAGAGAGCAGTAGCTCCACAGTATTCAAGGTAAAAACTGCCTGGGAAAAGAGGAATTACCAAGGCCTGGCTATCTCATTTTTATATGTGGGATACTCAGCACATGTGCAATCCAAAGCACCCTTCCTTCATCCTAATAAAGGCAGGATTCCTCAGCTGGCTAGAAAGAGGGGAATAACCAGCATGAAGGTTGTTTAGACCTTGGGTTTTCCTCAGGGCTGGCATGTCAGCAGTGTGTAATTCTCCACATAAAATGCCCACTTCCCCTTGCATTGGCTGTAAAAGTGGCTCATGCAGCCTCACGGGCCACTGGGTTGATGGGCACCACTGACAGGCTCTTGAGCTTTGTCCACCAGGTCTGCAGCCCCAAGTCCCTGTCACCCCCAGGAGCTTTGAGAAGGTTCCCCAGCACCTCCCCTCAGTAGTGAGGGCCCAAAGGCACATGTGTACCACAGCCACGGCATCTGGAGAGATGAAGGATATGTGTGTCCCCCTCCCCAGTTACTGATGAGAGGAAACCCAGCCTGAGGTAT